CGACGACGACGACGACGACGACGACGACGACGACGACGACGACGTCGAAGACGACGGCGACGACGACGACGACGGCAACGACGAGCGAAAGCGAGAGCGAGAGAGAACGACAGCAGGGCCACGAAGGGCACGAAGGAGGCCACGAAGGGCGACAGCGGGAACACGAAAGGAATGCGTATGGGGCCACGAAGAGCGCGATCGAGCGGGGGCCACGAACTGCAGATCATGCGGGGCAACAGAAGGCAACTATGGGGCCACTGAGGGTAGCAACTGGGCCACGTAGGACAGTGAGGGGGACAGAAATGGCGACAGCGGGGCCACGAAGGGCATGCACATGGGGCCACAACGGACGCGACTCCTGGGTGCCTCGGTGTCGGGAGCGCGGCGCTTGGGCAAATTGCAGGAAATTCCAACGCAAGGCCATTCTTCATTAGGTTGCAAGCAAGTCTCCAGCGAGAGCGCGACTCTAGAGCGCCGGGAGAGCGATTCCTTAATAAATCGATTCCTTAATAAAGTGTAAGGAAGTCCAAGCGAGAGCGCGATTCCTGATAAATGCGGAGGAAGTCTCGGGGCGGGAGCGGGGTCCGGCTAAACTGTAAGAAGTCCCATAGGCCGGAGCCGTTGCCATTATTTTCTTCTTCATAATAATTATTGTTGGGACCCCTGGTGCACGACCCCCCCGCCGCGCATAGGCCGCAGCCTCATTTTCATCATTTTCGTGAGGAAGTCTCAGGCAAAACGGGGGAGTCCGGATCCGGTTGTGTTGTTACGATCGGTTTTCCCTTGCAAAAAAAGCTAAAGTGGACATTTCTTGTTCTAACATAACCAAACTTCAAGAATCCCTTGCAACAAATAAGGTAAAGTGGACATTCGCGCGCGCAAGACGAAATCCTTCCAAAACCTTAGTTTTCGTAGCGATTTTAACATAACAACATCAAACAACCAATGGTTTTTCAAAACAAAAATGTCAAAATTTCATCCCGCGCGCTCTTGCGGATTTGTAGGAAACCCAACACTTTTTAATCATTTCTGTCAAACGGGCTTTTGCGAGCAACTTTTTCGAACTTCTGCAACAACGGTTGCGCACCTGCCAGGGCCATCATCCCTGTCAAATAATACCATGCGGGACACATTCGTTTTTTCTTCGCGCGCGCACGCCGTCGTCGTCGGCCGCGGGGCCCTGAATAGTAGCCACGGTCGTCCGCATGCCACGAAGTGAAGTGTCCGAACGTCATAGGGCGGGAAGCTGGGTGTGGGTGGTGGCGAAGAGTCGTTTGGAAATTTGGTAGAGCTTGAACCGGCCCCCCCACAAAGTGGGGGTATTGCCCGCCTCCTATGAAAACCCTGGCACTGGTGAGAACGGTGTGTCCCCACGTGCTAGTAATTGTTGTTGTTGTTGTTGTTGTTGTTGTTGTTGTTGTTGTTGTTGTTGTTGTTGTTGTAACCCGGGGGCCAGGGGCCCAGTTTGAGCATGAAGATTTTCCCTGTCAAAAAACAGGGTGCGAACGTCGAGGGGCACATTTTGATTGAGAGAAAACAGTGTGCACTGGTGGGGGGGGTCAACAATAATTATTCTTCAGAAGTGAGAATTCAACAGCAACAGCAACAGCAACAACAACATCAGCAGCACAACAACAGCACAACAACAAGCAGAATTCGCGCCGCCGGGTCACATTTTCAACCATGCACCCAGGGACAGTGTCGGAAAGCTGGGACCGCCGCAGGAATCAGCAGCTTGTCAAGCTGTTGTTGGTCCTCTATGTGTGGGGGCCTTGTGGTGGGGCCTCTCCTGTGCCTCTTTGCGCATCTTGGGGCCTCTCTGGGCGCCTTGGCCGCCCGACACGCTTGCTCGAACGCTCCTGTGCCGTTTGTGAGTCGTCATGGGGCCCTCTTGGGATATTTTAGGGCCCTCTTGGGCTGCCTTGGGTCGTCTGGGGGTTTCTTGGCGCGGGATTGGGACATCTTGGGGTCCTCCGAGTCTCACACCAAAGAAGTGCTTGCCAGGAATGCCTGGGAAGCCAAACGCGTGTGAAACAAGTCGATGCTCTCCTGCATGGTTTCGGCGGTTGGGCCCTCTCTGGGTGTTCTTGGGCCCTTTTGGGGCCTATCTTGGGCGTCTCGTTCGCCCAGTGGGGCCTTCAGGACCTGTCAGAGGGTGTCTTTGCTTTGAAGCGTGGTTGCCCGCCCTGGAGGCCTCCTGGCGCCCTGTTGGGCCGTCTTGACGGCATGGTGGGGCCCTGCTGGGTGTCACGGGCCCCCAGGAGCGGGGGGGGGTTTGGAGAGGGGCGCGCCCACCCACACCTCTCTGACGCCAGAGCCTATGCCCAGTTGCTTGTCGACATTTCGTGGAGGCCCGGGCTGCTCTAACCCCCAACCTCAGTTGTCAACGCTGCCGCGTCCAGCGAATTTCGGCTGTTCAGCGCACTTCGGTGGCGTGCCGCGGCAGCGCCCGCGGCGAGGAAGGGTCTCTTCGTCCCCACAAGCGCCTCGGCTCAAGACGCTAGGCCAAGCCCAAAGAAACCACTGGCGCCACGCCATCCTCATATCGGCGGCGAGCCCAGGGGGGAATCGAGAAGTGGCGGCTTAATCCAGCTTAATCCCGCTAAATCCAGCTTAATCCCGCTTAATGCCACTTAATCCGGTTTAATCCTGCTTGGTCCGAGGCCCACTCCGGCGCAACAGCTCCCAAATGGGGCTTAATCCTCCTTAATCTTTCCGACGAGCACCTCCCAGTAGTTGCCTCCGAACCCCCTTCGCCCGCCGCCGACCCTAGCAGCCGCCGGGCGCCATGACCGCCCTCAGGCTGATCGCGGCCACGGCCCTGGCCCTTGCGGCGGCGGAGCGAGCCGACAGGTTTAAGTCGGGCCCGTCCCTCTACAGGGGGGATGTTCAAAAACAGTCCAAAAATAGCCAGGAGGATTAATTTTTGCGTATTTTTGGGATCGTTTTGGGTTATGTTTATAGTATTTTTTATGATTTTTCGCCCACAATCCCCCTGTAGGGGGACACGCCCGACTTAACGACAGGTCCGAGGCCCTGGCGCGGGCGGCGGCCCGGGCGGCCCGGCGGGCGGAGGCCCGATCGGAGCGAACGCGCGAGCGACACGCCACTGCTGCAGCGGGCCTCCTCGGAGGCCCGCGCAGGCCGCCCGCTGCCAACGCTGGGCCCCCCCGCCCCCCGCTCCCCCCTCCTCCTCCTCCTCCTCTCCTCCTCCTCCTCCTCCTCCTCCTCCTCCTCCCTCCTCCTCCACCTCCTCCTCCCTCCTCCTCCTCCTCCTCCTCCTCCTCCTCTACCTCCTCCTCCTCCTCCTCCTCCTCCTCCTCCTTCCTCCTCCTCTCTCCCTCCTCCTCCTCATCATCCCTCCTCCTCCTCCCCTCCTCCCTCCTCCTCCTCCTCCTCCTCCCTCCCTCCTCCCTCCCTCCTCCTCCTGGCGGCGCCTTCGCGGTGCCCTGGTCCCCGGCGCGCCGGCGCCGCCCCCTGGCACGCCCCGCGCGCGAGGGACCCGGGGCAACGATGCGGGCAACGTTGTAGCCGAGGCGCCGAAGCACAGCCAGGTCGCACAGGAAGGATGAGCGGCTTGCCGTACCCTTGCATCCCTGCCCCTTCTCCCCATCCTTGGCAACCTTCGCTGGCGGCCAGCCTGGCCCTCCACAGCCCTTGCATCCTTATCGTGCGTCCCCATTTCGCGCCTTGACTGGAAGGACCGCTTTGGGCTCGAGGAAGGTCTCTCCTTCTCTCTCCCTCTCTCTCTCTCTCTCCCTCTCTCCCTCTCTCCCTCTCTCCCTCTCTCTCTCTCTCTCTCCCTCTCTCCCTCTCTCTCTCTCCCTCTCTCCCTCTCTCTCTCTCTCTCCCTCATCCTCTCCCTCTCCCTCTCTCCCTGTCTTTCTCCCTCTCCCTCCTTTCTCTCTCTCTCTCTCTCTTTTTTCCTCTCTCTCTCTCTCTGGCTTTCGGGCCGTGCCTCGGGTGTCCGGGTCCGGGGGGCCTGCTCGTGGCCGGGGGCCCGCCGTGGCCAGAAAAGAGCTCCTCCGTGCCTGCTGCCGGGCTCCTGCTCGCAGGCCTGGGAGGGGGTTGGCACCTAAACACCGCTTTCGGCGGGGTGCCTCCACCGAGGGAGGACGATCCCGATCTCGGTTCTCTCGCAGGCCTGGAGGGGTTGGCACCTAAACACCGATTTCGGCGGTGTGCCTCCACCGAGGGAGGACGATCTCCCGATCTCGGTGATTGGTGGTCCCATTCTGGCTTCCAATGGTGGTCGAAAGATTACCACCGACACCGAACGTCTGGGATCCTCTTCCCCCTCTGGAGGCAATCCCCTGTGTTGGTGTTGGTGCCGATTTCCAGGCCTCCAATCGTTGTGCTGGCACGATGGCTGGTACGGGGGTGGACGGGCTCAGGGGGATCGCATCGACCCCATCGCCGATCGACTGGGCGATGCGTTGCCGATTCAGGGTCGATGTCCGGCCCCACCGAGCCAGTCCGATAGGGGCCCAACAGCCCACCGCGCACAGGAACGTGTGCGGATCCCGCCATCGGGGGCCTATCGCTGGTCAACTGGCCGATGCGTCGCCGATTCCGGGTCGATGTCCGCCCCCCCCCCCGCGCCGGGTTCCTTTGTCGCCCCCCCTCAGTCGTTCCTATCGTTACGTCGGGCATGTCGCTCTACAGGAAGAGTGTTCAACGATAGTCAACAACCAGTCTGGGGACGATGTTTCGACGATGTCTGGCTATTTTTGAGTGTTTTCGTTGTTTTCCATTCTTCTTCCAAAATCCGCCTGTAGGAGGACATGCCCGACCTAGTCAGATCCTTCCCCCTCGGGAGAGCGGGGTTTGGGGGGAGAGAGGGGCCCAGCGGCGCCGAGCCCGAGAGGCCCGCGCGGGCGTTCGAGGGCCTGTGCCTGTGCCGCTCTCTGCTCTTCTGTTGATCACCGAGCGCGTCCCGCGACTCGCAGAGTGACTGCTCGCAAGAGGTCCTAAGAACAAGCGCCTGCCTCGATTGTAGGATGGATCGCAAGTCCCCCTCGGCGGACCCGGCCCTTTGCGAGCATTTGCTTTATGCGAGTAGTGGAGCTCGCTCGTCCTGTCGAGGCGGCGAACGGCACTGCGACCGAGGTCGCGCAGGCCGGCACGGGCGAGTTCCCGTACAACGCCGTCACCGACTTCCTCGGCGACGACTCCAAGGGGCTGGTGAAGGACCCGGCGGCGCCCACATGGTGATGGGCCAGTTTTCCACCACAACTACCATGGATAGGAGAGGGGGTAGGAGGAGGAGGATGAGGAGGAGGAGGAGGAGGATGAGGAGGAGGAGGACCACTGTAAACCCAAGAGTCATCAACGATATTGGAGTAAACCCTCCCTCCAAGCTCCCTCTTCATAGGCCCCTACAACGGCTCACTTCCATTGATGGAACTGCCTCGTTGGAAGACACCCGTTTTGAAGACACTGAAGCGTGCCAACACATTGTTCTCGGGATTCTGACGCCACGGATCAACCTGACGGTTGCGTCGTGACGATCCTGAATCGTACCAGAACGCCATTCCTAGGACTTCAACACAGAGAACCAACGCAATTGTTGCACCCGGTTAATCCAGAATCCTTCCAAAACACACTTTCTGGTACGTGCATGATGGGAACCTTTGAAACTCTTGCAAACTTGTAGAACGAATCTGCGCCGCGCTAAGGCGAGAGCCACATTTTGAAGAGGAACCGCCCTCAATCAGTTTTTGTGTGTGTGTGTGTGTGTGTGTGTGTGTGTGTGTGTGTGTGTGTGTGTGGTTTTTGCACATTTTCAAAAACGAATGTGCGCGGCGCTACGGCGAGAGCTACTTTTTGAAAAACTTGTTGAAAACGACCCGCCCTCAATCCGTGAAGCTCTTGAAACGAATGTGCGCTGTGCTGAGGCGAGAGTCACATTTTGTAGTGCAAATACTAAAAACGAATGTGCGCCGCGCCAAGACGAGAGCCACATTTTGAAAACCACCCGCCCTCAATCCGTGAAGCTCTTGCACATATTTAAAACGAATGTGCGCTGCGCTAAAGCAAGAACCACATTTTGAAAACTACCCGCCCTCAATCCGTGCAACTCTTGCAATTTCTGGAAGCGAATGTGCGCCGCGCTAAGGCGAGAGCCACATTTTGAACTATCTGTGAAACTGTTGTCAGTTTTTGAGCTTCAGAGTCACTAATTGTGAGGAGGTCTCAGGCGAAACGCCCGACCCGCACTAAAAGCTGGCCTCGGGGTGCGACAGGGAGAAGTTATGTATAAGGAAAGGAATGGAGGAGTGGGAGGAGGAGGAGGAGGGGGAGGAGGAGGAGGAGAGGAGGAGGAGGAGGAGGAGGAGGGGAGGAGAGGAGGAGGAGGAGGAGAGGAGGGAGAGGAGGAGGAGGAGGAGGAGGAGGAGGGAGGAGGGAGGAGGAGGAGGAGGAGGAGGAGGAGAGGAGGAGGAGGGAGGAGGAGAGGAGGAGGAGGAGGAGGAGTAGGAGGAGGAAGGAGGAGGAGGAGGAGGAGGAGGAGGAAGGAGGAGGAGGAGGAGGAGGAGGAGGAGAATGGGGGAGGAGGAGGGGGAAGAGGAGGAGGAGGAGAAGGAGGTCCTCCCCATCCTCCGTTCTCCCCCGTCCTACGTATGGTGGTGGTGGTGGTGGTGGGAGATTGGCCCATCAGATGGCGCGAGGGGGAGGCGGCCCTCGCCGAGACGGCAGGCGGGGCTGCTCAAGAGGGCCCTGGGGGCTTGCGGAGGAGGCTCCTTGGCATCGGCTGCGCGCAGGAGGGACCTTGCGCAGGAGTGGCCTCTGGTGCGGGCACACTTCGAAGAAGAAAACACGCCATAAGCATAAACTCGTGGCGCTTCGGGCGGATTTCTTGGATCCGCGCTGGGCCACCCCGACGGCGCCTCCGGCGCCGCCCCTGGAAGGCTCCGCTCGCCAGGGACGGGGGTCCACCGCAGATCCAAGAAATCCGCGCGGAGCGCCAAACGATCATGTTTATGCAGTTTTTTCTTCTTCTCACACGGAGGGGGGCCAGATGACCGAGAGGGGCGCGATAGCGGCGGCTTGCGCGGCTCCGGGGCTCAAGAGACGGGGGTCGATGCAGACGGGGGCCAGTCCGAGTCCGAGCGCTGGATCTTGCAGGATCCTGCAGAGCCAGGGTTGCATTGACCCGGGCTTGGGTGCAGGGTCCTGCCTGCAGGATCCAGCAGGATCTTGCAGGATCCTGCAAAGCCTGACTGACCCGGGTCTGGGTTGAGCTGGCCTTTGGGGAGGCTTGTTGGGATCTGCTACGCGTAAGAGTGATCCTTCGCCAGAGTGGCCTTTGGTGCGGGCGCACCGGGGGCGGCGGCTTGCGCGGCTCGGTTTTGACCACCCCGACGCCGCGCACCAAAGGATACTCTGGCCCAGGGTCACTCCTGCGTGTACAGTCGGCCCAGATTAGCAGGTCGACCCTGCCAGATCAAGGGTACCCTCGTGTCCTGTGTCTCGCGACCCATGCCTCTTGCATTCCTGTGGCGCTGTGGCCCTCGGAAGGGTCTTGTGTCCTCTCGCGTGTCCTGTCCAATCGAGTCCGACTGTAGTCGATAGAAGGCGGGCGGGCTTTTCAGGAGTCCCCCCTGTGCCGTGTGAGAGGCCCCGCGGCCTTCTCAGCGGGCGACCTCCCTCGCGCCACCCCCCTGCGGTGGGCGCCGCCGGAAGAGGAGGGCGTGGATCTCGCGGCCCACCTCTCGGGCGAGCTCAACACGCACGCGGGCCAGGCCGTGGGGAAGGCGGACGAGTACGGCGGCCTCCTGAGGCAGCTCCATTCGGCGACTCCAAAGGGTGTGGTTACAGTCGGGGCGCTGAAGAAGAAACCCTTTTCGTTGGGGAGGGGCTCGGTGTTCCTTGATTGTTATACAGTTTGCCTTGGGTTTTCCTTTTGTTTTCATGGGAAATCAAAAACGAACTTATGGGAACAAGGGGCCTCGTTCCTTATTGCGAAGGCCTTACGGCCGTTGCCGCCGACCCTGAAGATGACGAAAGACAACACGAGGGGGGGGGCAGGAGGAGGAGGAGGAGGAGGAGGAGGAGGAGGCGGAAGGGAGTAGGAGGAGGAAGGGTGAAGGTGGAGGAGGAGGAGGCCTTATGGATGTTGGTTGGGATCTCGTGGTTGACCTCTCGGGGGCGTCTGGAAGGCAACTTGAAGCCTCTTGGGGGCCGTTGTGGGGCCTCTTGGGGCCTCTTTTGGGCCTCTTGGGGCTTCCGGAGGCCGTCTTCGGCGCATCTTGGGGGCGTCTTGGCGCCGCTCGGGGGCCTCTTGGGGCCTTTTGGGGGCCTCTTGGGGCTTCCCGGGGGCCTCTTAGGGCGGAAGTCTCGAATTCTCGGTTCCTCGTCCCCCTCTTGGCCGTTTCTTGGGCCCGTCTTGGGGCCCTATTGGGCCGTCTTGGGCGCCTCTTAGGCTGTCCTGGGGCCTTCTTGGGCCGTCTTGGGGCCCTCTTGTAGGCCTCTTGGGGCGCTCTTGGGGGCCTCTTGGGGGCCTCTTGGGCCGTCTTGGAGTGTCGGAAAGCCGAAAAGGCGAGAAGGCCAAAATCCTTCAAAAACCGATGTAAAATTGACGATTTTGGCGCCTGGGGCCCTCTTGGGTGTGCTCTTGGGGCTCTCTTGGAGCGTCTTGAGGGCCTCTTGGGCCGTCTTCGGGCCGTCTTGGGCGTCTTGGGGCCATCGTTCGTCGAGTCGAGGCCCTCTTGTACCCTTTTGGGGGTGTCTTCTGTCGCTCTTGGCTCGTCTTGAAGCTTTTCTGAGCTCCGGGACCCCCCGGGGAGGATGCGTATCTGGGTGGCGACCCCCCCCGGGGACCCCCCCCGGCGACCCCCCCCCCCCGGCGGGGAGGGTAGGGAGGGGCTTCGCCACGACTCAACTACGACGTTGCTCAATGTCGCTTTGGCTCGCGCGCTCAAGGAGACGGGGAACGACGAAGACGACGAGGGACAACGGAGACGGAGACGACGAGGACGACGACGACGACGACGACGACGACGACGACGACGACGACGACGACGACGACGACGGTGATCCACGCAAGACGACGACACCGGGATGCGTCTTCCACACGCCGACAGGGTCGGCGGATTTAGGGCTCCTTTGGTCAACGCCCCGACTGTACGCCGGGGTGTGGCTTGCGATCCGCGTCACTGGGGCACGGGGGGCACCGATTACGCCACCCTCGTCGGGCCTCCTCGGGGTGTGGCTGAGAATCTGGTCGAGGTCCTCGGCCGCCCCCCAGGGTGCGGGTTGCAAACCACAACCTGTGCAAGCCACACCCTTCGGAGTCGCCGATCCATGCTGGGAACGACCTGGTCGTGGCGACCGTGCACGACTTCAAGACCGCGGTGGGTGAGCACGCCAAGGGCAAGCTCCAGGAGTCCGTCTCTGAGGTCAACTCGGCAGCAGAGGGCGGGGGCTCGTCCGTTGGCGTCAAGGAGATCAAGCACGAGGAGGTGGTGCCGTCCCAGAAGATGACCTCTGAGGGCGTGGAGGAGTTCGCGGCGACGCAGTTCGGCCTGCAGGCCATCACCTTCAAGGAGGGCACCGGTGAGCTCAGCGACGAGTCGGAGGCGCGCGTCCTCCGCGAGTTCGTCGAGCCTCTGAAGGCGGCCAAGGGCAAGGCAGGCTCTGGCGCCCAGTTCCTCTTCTGCATCTTCTACTCGACCACCGCCGGCGCCGACAACGTGAAGGAAGGCCTGATGCAGCAGCGCGGCGAGGGCCTGGAGAAGATCGTCACCAGGCACGCCGACGAGGTCCTCGGCTCCGGCAGCTACAAGGTTCGAGGCGTTGCGAAAAAGCTGGGGGGAAATGATCAGACCGCCTCTCGAGTCGTTCGCTGCGCCGTCGCCCTCCCTGGTCTCAGGGCTAGCGAAGGGTCGTGGGTGGGAAGGAGGGAAGGGGGGAAGGGGAGGGGGGGGTACGAAGACTGCCGCACACGGCTGGCGTTTCGGCCACGCTGCCCCGTGCGCCCTTGCACACCTGGCCGCTGCCAGCGCCTCCGGACCTGGGTCACCAGCCGCGTGCAGCTGATCCCCTGACTGCCCCCTCCCCTTGACTCCTCCCCTCTCCTTTTCCTGCCGCATCCGAGAGGTCGGTGGCAAGTTCGAGGGGTACGAGTCGGATCGCCTCGGCGCGATAGTTTACAAGGTCACCAAGGGGGGTCAGGAGGCCGCATGCTCCCCGCAGGACGCCCAGATCGCGGAGTCTGGCAAAGTTGGCTGAGAGGCTGCGCACTACCCTCTGCCAGTTACTTTCGGCGCCGCTTCCTGTGGCCCTCGCACGGCAGAAGTTGCAGGGCTCTGCCGCAGACGTACTCCTCGTCCTCCTGCTCCCCACATCAAGGGTGGAAAAACCACCCGGGCCCCGGCAATTAGCGTTTACGCAGCGGCCCCGGGCGTTCACCGAACAGCCCTGCCCTGTTTGACTCATTCCTTGGGTGCGTCTGCTAGACGGCTCGGATTGTCAGGATGCTTGCTATGGGGGTGGATCTTCTGCAGTGGGGGCGGATTTTTGGCCCTCTGCTGCATGAGCAGCGACTGGGGCGGGGAAGGGGCCCAGGGGAGGAGGGCAGCGACCCCTAATCGCCCGCTCGTGTCGGATCGGGGCCTGGGAGCCCCAACATGGTCAGGGACGTGGGGGCCCCTCGGATGGCCCTCGCCGATCTATGGGCGACGTGCCGTCGATTCCAGGTCAGCAGCTCCCCTCCCGAGCCGGTCCCCCCGCTTCGGCTCGCGTCATCCCTGCTCCCGCCAGGCAGCCCCAGGATGCGAAGAGACCGCCCCAGGGCGTTTTGGAGCACTCCCAGGGCATTCAGACTGGCGAAGCGATTGGTGTTATGATGTTCATCGGATGGTCGCGCTCGACCTCTCCCGTCTTCCTCCCAAGGAACAGAAAAACTCCCAGGGCATGCAGAGCGCCCTGGAACGGTCGCAGCTCCTTCCACAGTTCCTTTGAGCCCGCCGGCTTTCGCACGGGCGCTGGCCGAAGTTCTGGCCGATTCCCGCGAGATCGAGATCTGGCTGTCAGCGCTTGGGAGGAGCGGGAAAGGCCCTAAACCCTCGTTCCCAGCTCGCGCATGTCTGAACAAAGTCGACGTCGAGAGTTTTGGCCCACACGCACACGTGCTCGAGACGTCCTTGTCTGATTTTGCTCGTTTCGCGTCCTCGGCTTATCCGGCTCCTGCCCCTCCCTTCAGTCCTCGCTCGCGGGCCGTCGACGCGGGCTGCCTCCCGTCACACTTGGGGGACGGCGTCGAGTGGGTCCTTCGCCGCTTGCGCGGCCGCCGCCGCAGCCGCCGCCGCCGCGGCCGCCGCCGCCACCGTCGCCGCCGCCACCGTCGTCGTCGTCGCCGCCGCCGTCGTCGTCGTCGTCGTCGTCGTCGTCGCCGTCGTCGTGGTGGTCGTCGTCGTCGTGGTCGTGGTCGTCGTCGTCGTCGTCGTTGTCGTCGTTGCCATCGTCTTCGTCGTCGTCGTCGTTATCGTCGTCGTCGTTCTCATCGTCGTCCTCGTCGTCATCGTCATCGTCGTCGTTCTCGTCGTCGTCGTCGTCGTTCTCGTCGTCGTCGTCGTTCTCGTCGTCGTCGCCGTCGTCCTCGTCGTAGCCGTGGTCGTGGAATGATATGTGGACGCCCCCTCATAATTGGCCCCTGGACCTCTCGTGGATCGCGTTCTGACAAGGATCTCGAGTCGCATCCAGCCGCGGCGACGCCCCTCCCCCTGGAGGCTCAACAAAGGCGAGAAGCGTGATTCATCCGCTCCTGCTGCTCCTCCTCCGCATCCTCGCTCTCACTTCTCACCCGAACGCTGGGACCTTGAGGAAGAACTCTGAGCTTTTCCAGGCCTTCCGAGAGATCCCTAGAGACATCTAAGACGCCTCTGAGATGTGTCTTTCCACCGCCCCACGACGCCTACCAAGACGGCCCAGAGGAACCCGAGATGTCCCAAAACGGCTCGAATATTGCCCACCGCGACCACTAAGACGCTAGAACAGGTCAGGGGACCCTTTAGACGGCTCAAACAGGTATCGCAAGGCGCCAAAGGCGAGATTCGAAGATCGCCCGCAAAGGGCTGGGGGCGGAGGATGGGGCGGAGGAGGCGGAGGAGGTCCAGTGTAAACCCAGGACTTATCAGCGATGTTAGAATCTATCCTCCCTCCAAGATCCCTCTGCGCAGGCCCCTAAAAGGGGTCATTTCCACAGGGAATGTGCCTGTTGGGGGACAACCGTGTGTACATCTTGAAGCGTGCCACAACACCCCTCTCAGGACTTCGACGCCACGAGTCAACCTGATTCGTACGTCTTGGCGAGCCTGAATCGTGCCAGGACGCCACTCCTGAGACTTCTACACCGCGAATTAACGTAACTGTTGCGCCCCGACTATCCTGACACGTTCCAAGCCACCGCTTCTAGACGTTAGCCACGAGAACCTGCACACTTCTGGTAAATTTTAAAACGAATGTGCGCGGCGCGAGAGCCACATTTTGAAAACGACCCGCTCCCAATCCGTGAAGCATTGGCAGTTTTTAAGCGAATGTGCGCGGCGCTATGGCGAGAGCCACATCTTGAAGACCACCCGCCTTCCACCAGTGAAACTCTTGCAAAGTGTTTAAAATGATTGTGCGCGGCGCTAAGGCGAGAGCCACATGTTGAAAACGAGCCGTCCTCAATCCGTGAAGCCCTTGCACATGTTTTGAACGAATTTGCGCGGCGCTAAGGCGAGAGCCACATTTTGACAAAGACCCGCCTTCAGTCCGTGAAGCCCGTGCGATGTTTGAAAACGAATGTGCGCGGCGCTATGGCGAATGCCACACTTTGAAAACCAAACGCCCTCCATCAGAGAAACAGTTATCAGTTTTCCCCACATGTTTCGTGGGTTTCTAGTTCTCTTCCCACCCGCGTCGCACCCGCGTCTTCCTCACCTCCCGCCTCCCCCTTTCTCCTTCTTCTTGTCGTTCTTCCCTTCACCCACACGCAACACATGCTCTGCACGTGCATCAGACACGCGTCTACATGCAGCCGCACGCATGCACACACTCGCATACACAACATACACCATACAACGCTAGTGCACGCCTGGCGTGTTCATAGCATCATACACCCAATACGTATGCACAACATATTGGGCACCCACATGAGGCACATGATGAAGCGCCTTTTTTGGGGGAGGGGGCCCCCTCTCTCCAGATGGGATTACCGGGAGGGGTCTCCCAGGAAACAGCCCTCGTGAGAAGGGAACACCGCTCCTCCAGCTGGGGAGTCTCTTGGGGCTGTCTTGGGCGCCTTTGGGGCCCTCTTCAGCCATCCCGAGGCCCTCTACTCACGGCTCCAGTGCCCCTTCTGCCCGCAAGTCCGGCAGCGGGATCTCTTCATGCGCTGCTCGATGGTGAGCTGTGGCTTCCGACGTGCTCGGTCGCCGCGATCGCCACGGCCTCTGTCTCCATTCGGCCTCGACGACGACGGGACCTTGTCCTTCGTCTTCCCCTTGCCACCGCTCTGGCGCCCGCCGAAGTACTCTCGGTCCGTCTTGGCGGCACGCTCGAGCTCCCTGTTTTCTTTCCAGGAGTGGGCCTCCGGCCCGCACTGCGAATATCTCCAGCGCGTTGTCGATCTGGTCTTCGTAGAGGTCGAGGTCCTCGAGCTCCTCTGGCAGTGCTGCCTGGTCCATCGCCTGGCTCTCCGTGTCGTCGGCCTGGTCCGAGGAGTCGTCCTCCGAAGCCTCACCACCGTCGAACCTACCCGAGGGGAAGGATGAGGAGGAGGGTGGAGGCTGACTGGCGCCCGAGGCTCCCTCGCCGCCGCCTGGCTCTTCGGCGGGCTGGGCGAACATGGAGCCGGAGGGCGCTCGACCAGGCAGCAAACGTTCCGAGCCTGAGGCATCCATTTGTCGGAGTGCCCAGGCCACATTCTCGTAATCTAGCTTCCTTTGCGTCAACGTCCTCAAGTTCTGTTGACCCTGTGCCGTGAGTCCGGCCCCTTCCTCCAGGAGTAGTCCCTTGAGCTTCGACGAGAACCACATGTCGTGACCTTCTCTTTCCGTCAGCTGGGCCTCGCGCCAGATCAGGAACTGCACGAGGGTCTCCTTCTGCTCATGAGCTGCTTCGAACAGCGCTTTGCGCCCTGCTCTACGGAGATCATCTCCTTCGCGTTCTCCAGCCATGACGTCCATGCGCTGGAGTATCGCGGTCAGCCAGCCCGAGCCGACCAAGACATTCTCGGGAATATCCTCGAACTTTGCCTGGAAGCTCCATTCGAACATCTTGAGTAGCTTCTCAGCGCGGCGCCAGACTGCCACGTGCGTGTTCGTTTTCCATCTCTCTACTGCTCGCTGCCACTGTCTGTAGTGGGCCCAGCCGGGCCAAGACGGTGGGTCTGAGAAGTCGCCTCTGGCGCCGCCTCCGCCGTTACCGGACGCCCAGCCCTGCTGCCAGTCGGAGGCTCCCCCGCCTCCGCGCCAGCTTCCCCGGGCCAGCTCGCCGCTCGGCTCGGCGTCGCCCTTGCTCCTGCTGCCTTGCCAGCCCTCGCCTGCGCACCAGCGCCGGCTGGAGAAGGAGGGTCACTCCTCCCATGTTCGGGGGAGCGTAAGACCCGGGTTTGCAGGGACTCGGGTTCGCCATCGTTTTTTGACGACCGCGCCTCGGATTTTGACGAGGAGGAGTTTCGTGGGATGTCTGCAGCGGGAGGCCTCGTCAAAATGCAGGCTCGGCCTCGTCATTTTTTTGACGACCTCGTCGGGGATTTCCGAGTCCCCCGTGCCCGGGTCGTACGTCTCCCCGAATGTGTCCCAGCCGTTGGGCTCGGTGGCTACCGCCTTGGTCTGAGAATCCTGCTGCCAAGGGTCTGGGATCGCGCCCGCCGCGGGCGCCTCTGCTCTGCTGGTCGCGCCAAGAGTCTCCCTGACTGCACCGGCGATCCAGCCGCGCAGCTGCTCCGCAATGACGCCCGCTGCCGTCTGTGCTCGCGCGAGCTCCGACTCGCGCTCCTCCTGACCGGCAGCACTGGGCTCTGTTTTTTCCTCCTCTCCTGCCATGCCGTGGAATGCCACGCCAGTCGGACCTGAAGCGAGGTCCGCGCCCGGAGCTCCAGAGGGACGGAGCCGCGCCTAGAAGCGCCGCCGCCTGTCCCCCACTGGCCGCCCGGCGGGGAACCCCGCTCCGCTACCAACTGTGGCGGTAACCTCCTTTCCAAAAGGGTTTTGTTGGCTTGAGCCACAACACGACACGAGCAT